ACAACACCCGGTGTGTGTGTGGTGTGTGTGTGTGTGTGTGTGTGTGTGTCTCGTTGTGTGTGGCGTGTGCGGTGGTGCTCACAAGTGAGAGCGCTCAGGGACGGTGTGTACGATCAACCCGGCCTACACGGCGCACGAGGTGGAGTACCACCTGAAGGACTCGGGCGCGCGCTACCTGGCCACCCTGCCCGAGCTCGCCGACGCCGTGTGGGCCACCGCCCAGCAGCTGCGCCTCCGCAACGTGTTCACCTTCTCGTCGACCCACCCGTGCCCGCACCGCGAAGCCATCCCCGTTTCCAGCCTCTTCGAACTAGGTACGCTGGGCATCGCACACGGCACGACACGACACGCACTGAGTGCGGTTGTGCAGGGAATGATGCGTTGCCACACGTGAGCATCGACCCGATGAACGATGTGGTGTGCCTTCCCTATTCCAGGTACCCTGCTTGTCTTTCTTGACATTTTTATGGCACACGACTCACGCAGCGAACGACACACGCGGCATGCGACACACGCACGGCACACGCGACACAACGACACTCACGACATACACGACACGCAGCGGTACGACGGGCCTGCCGAAGGGCGTGTGTCTCACGCACTTCAACCTCATCTCCAACTTCCTCCAAATGGCCGACATCGACCCGCCCGACGACGACGGTACCCCCTCCGTGCGCGCGCGTGGTGTGTCATGCGAGCGTGTCGTGCGGCGTGTGCGGCGTGTGCCATTGACCATTGGCTTCTTCCGTAGGGCACAAGGTGCATCTGGGCCTGCTGCCGTTCTTCCACTCGTACGGAATGCTGGTCATGAACGCGGCCCTCCTCGGGCCCCACCCCCTCGTGGTCATCCAGAAATTCGAACTCAAGGCACGTATCCTAGCTACAAACCCGGAACCCGGCATTGGTTCCATAGCAACAGCCGCAGTCACAACCTAGGTAACGCATATGGGCAATTCCAGGAATTTCTGGGCATCTTGGAAAAGTACCGGGTCACCCACGCGTCGCTGGTGCCGCCCATCGTGATCGCGTTGGCCAAGCACCCGCTGGTCAACCAATACAACCTCTCCCTCAAGCGCGTCGGCTGCGGTATGTATGCGTGTGCGGTGTTGTGTGCGTGTGCGGTGTTGTGTGCGTGTGCGGTGGAACTGACGTGTCTGCGCGCGGGCGCAGGTGCGGCGGCACTGGGCGACGGGGTGGCCAAGATCGTGGAGAAGAAGTTCGGGTGCGTGCTCCGGCAGGGCTACGGCATGACCGAACTCTCGCCCGTCGCCACCATGAGCTCCCTCCGCAAGCCCGTACGCCGCACGACACGACACTCAACGCACACACGCTCACCGCACGACACTCACCACACCGCATGACACACGGTCGACAGATAATCCTAGAGGCGTCGGGCCAGCTGCTGCCCAACACCGAGGCCAAGGTGGTCGAGATCGGCAGCGACGACGACAGCGACGCGTCGGGCGGCCGCCGCCGGCTGCTGGGGCCGATGGAGCAGGGCGAGCTCTACATTCGCGGGCCGCAGGTCATGGCCGGGTACCACAACAACCCGGCCGCCACCCGGGCGACGATCGACGCCGACGGATGGCTGCGCACGGGCGACATCGCCTACTACGACCGCGACGGCTACTTCTACATCGTCGACCGCCTCAAGGAGCTAATCAAGACTAAGGGCTTCCAAGTCGGTATATATGACACACCACACTCACCGCACGCGCACCGCACACGCGCATCGCACTCACCGCACACACACACGCACAGCGCCGGCGGAGCTGGAGGCGGTGCTGCTGACGCACCCGAAGGTCGCCGACGCGGCGGTGGTTCCGTCGCCGGACGAGCGCGCGGGCGAGGTGCCCAAGGCCTTCGTCGTGGCCAAGCCCAACGCCGGCCCGCTCACCGAGCAAGAAGGTACCAGCGTCAATGCTGACGTGGCACTGACCAGCACCGGTTGGATTGCTGACGTGGCATCGGTGGTGGTGGTGATGGTAGTGATGGAGTTCGTGGCGGGGAAGGTGGCCCACTTCAAGCGGCTCCACTTTGTGGAGTTCGTGGCGGCCATACCCAAGACCAGCAGCGGCAAGATTCTGCGCCGCGACCTCAAGGAGCGCGAACGCCAGCGCATCATCGCCCGCACCACCGTCGCCCGCCTCTAATTCGCCCTCATACGACACACGCACCGCACACACTCACCGCACACACCGCACACGCACGACACACACATTGAAGAAGTGCTGTGTATTCATCATTACATGAGCACGCTTTTCTGGTTGGTGGTCTTGCCGCTGTCGTTGATGTTGTTGTCGTTGATGTGGTCGGTGGTTTGCTTCTTCAGCTTCCGCTCGGCCTGCTCCTCCTTGCGCGCCTTCTTGCGCTGCTTCTTCTCCTCCTTGCGCGCCAGCTTCTGCTCGCGCGCCAGCTCCTTCTCGAGCTGCTTCGTCGCCCGCCGCCGCTGCTTGTCCGTCATCAGCGGCTCCGTCTCCGCCTCACCCCCGCGCCCCCGGTTGTTCGCCTGTTGGCCGCCCGCCGCAGCGCTCGAAACGGTAATCGAGGTGGTCGAGGTGGTGGTCGAGGTGGTGGTCGTCGTATAGGCCGGCCTCGCGTGGTTCAGGCGAACCGACGTCGCGGCCGAGGCCGACCTGGAGAACGAAGACGAAGACGAAGAAGAAAGCGAAGAAGAAGAACGCGAAGACGCCGAAGTTGACGTGGAGCCGGAGGTGAAGGAGGAGGTGCGCCGGGCGGTGGCCGATGGTTTGGTGTCGGAGATGGGCCGGTCGGCCTCGGGATCAATGTCATCGGGCGCCTCGCCCACCACCCTGCCTTCGCCCGGGAACCGCCTGTGCGCCACCTCACCATCAGTCACCGCACACGACACGACACGACACGACACGACACGACACGACACGACACGACACGACACGACACGACACGACACGACACGACACACACCGCACAGCAACGACACGCACGGGTACCCGGAATCGTAAAGGCCGTTGCCGTTGTGGGAGCCGACGACTTGGCCGTTGAGCACGACTGCGTTCTCGTCGTCGGGCTGGTAGTTGGCCGCGTAGCGATCGAACTGCCGCTCGCGCCGCACGCCCTCGATCGCGCCCGCGCTCGCACCCGCGGCCAGCCCCAATATGGCGCCCGCCACCATCCCAGCTGCCGGCCTGCCACGTCAGCTGACGACAACCTTAAGAGAAGGGGGGGCGGTTGTGGTGGTACCGGGGGCGGTGATGGGGGCGAAGGGGAACACGGCAAGGCCGGCCAGCGAGCCGGCCATCATGCCCGCCATCATCCCGTTCACGGCGTGGCGCGTGGCCCCCTGCGAGGCGCTGCGCCGCTCCTCTGCAGTCAATCGGGCTGCCTGCAATTTCTTCTTCAGGCCCATGATGGCTGCGTTTTGTGTTTTTGCTGTTGTTTACTTGCAAGGAGGAAGATGTAAGTTGCAAGTTGCAAGTCTTGTTGGTGTGGCAATGGCCACTATGGGCACACAGCTCGAGTCGATGAGGGCCAACCAGAAGGCCAGACAAGTGCCCACAGAAATTCTGTGTAAAGCGCTGACCATTCTGTGGAAAAACAGAATGTGGCCATCTTTTTGTTTTTATGTGGGGCTTGCTGTCCAATGGGAGTCGTGAGTACCCTTCCTTGGAAAGGAGGCCATACAAGTATAGTATCAGTACAGACCCAAGTCTGCCTTGGTGGGGGCGCCTTCTTGAATGCTGTGGAGTGTGATTGAGAGGCCACACTCTTGAGCACCACCCTGCACACCTGGTACTGTTATCTTGTGTGTTCCTGTCATGTTTGTGTTCATTGCCTTCTTTTAAATAAGTACAGCGTGGCGTAATCTGTCACAAGTGGCACTTGGCGCGTTCGAGGACGAGGTTGGCGACGAGCTCGACGAGGGCCTCCTTGGTTGCGCGCAGGCCGATCTCGCCCAGGTTGAACTCGACCTGCTTCACGCACTCGCGCACGATCCGCTCGCAGTTGAGCAGCAGGTCCTCGTCCCCGAGGCCCGTGTTCTGTGCCGGCGACCCGCTCGTGAGCGCCTTGTTCTTCTCCGCCTTCAGCTTGTTGTACTCCGTTATAATTTCCTGCCACACGACACACACGACACACCACACACACAGACACATCTTAGCCCGCGTGTCGCGTGTGCGGTAGTGCGTGTGCGGTACCTCGATGCGTTGCTTGTGTTCGACCCAGTCCTTGTGGAAGCTGATGATGAGGGAGGAGAGCTCGCTCTGCATGACCTGGATGGTGGCCAGGCAGTACTTGCCGAGCTTGAGCCACAGCGACTGCCGCTTGCGGATCTCCCACAGCAGCTGGCACAGCACCAGGAACAGATAACTCGCCTGGCACACAAACATGCTTTGCAATTTCTGTTCACCGCACACGCACACCGCACACACGCTGACGTCAGCCACAACACACACCGCACACGCGTGACACGGCACACGCACGATTTTGAGCCAGTTGATCTCGGGCTGCTTGTCCTGGATGAACTCGACGAAGGCGATCTTCATGTTGGACACGATGCGCTCCTGCCGGGCTGTCTGCGTGGTGGCCTTGAGGCGCGCAAAGAGCTTGAGCGCGGCCTTGTAGGTGTCGGCCGTCATCGTCAGCTCCTTCTGCAGCTCCTCCGCCGCCTGGTACACCTCCAGGTAGAACGTCGGGAAGAACGTCTCGTACTTGTCCGCTGCATCACACCACCATCATCAGCCGCGTGTGCGTGTGCGTGTGCATGCTGTGGTGTGCGTGTGCGTGTGCGTGTGCGTGTGCGTGTGCGTGTGCGTGTGTACCATTCTTGAGAGGGCAGTAGCATGAGGGTAAGAGGGCCATGACCTTACGCTTGGGCTTGCCGCCGTTCTCGGCTGTCGTCGTCGCCGCCGCCGAGGCCGAACTCTTTTCATTCTTGTCATTCCACCCGAAAATCTTGCCCAGGCTCAGGCCCATCGGCTTCGCTGACGGCCCGTCCTTGTCCGCCGCCGCGCTCCCTGCTCCCATGATCCGCGACTTCTTCGTCTTCTTCTTCGTCATCGGCTTCTTCTTCGTCGCCTTCTCTTCATCATCGTCATCGTCATCGTCCTCTTCATCATCATCGTCGTCGCGTGTCTCGGCCATGACGAGCCGCAGCTGCTCCGAGTCGGTGTCCTCCTTGAGCCGCGGCGTGAAGAGCTCGATGAGGAGGTCCCCGACGTCGGGGCTCGACCGAGCCCACCAGGTAGTCGAACCGGGCCAGG